GGCAATGATAAATAAACTCAATATTGTCCTGAAGCCTACTCATATGATTGTGGCAAAATTCAACAAAAATAGTTTCTTTTTTGATTGTGTAAAAAGATGCATACATATTGATTTAGAAGCCTACTCATCTGGGAAATAAGTAACCTCTCGTATTGCAATGGTAAAAATATGTTTTGATCATTGACGGTCTCGCTAGAGGGTCAAGTAAGTAGCTGGCCAGCGTGGCTGTATGACGTGGTTATGAAAAGTTGCTAAGTGACATGAACGGGCTGGTTTTGAATTCCCTTGGGGTGGGATGATGAGATGGTGAGGTGAGGTCGAAACTGAAGTATGACCCGGCCAGAAAAGCTTTTTGTCAGGCAAAGTGGCATAAAGTGTGAATTGACTTTTCATTTTGAAGGCAAATTTGGTTTGCAGGACCTCGTGAAATGTCCTACCTGAAAACTGGAAGGGGGTTGTTGCCTTGGAGTTGAGGCTGTTGGGTTGAGCAAAGAAGTCATTGGCTCATTGGTTTACGACTTCGAGTAATCTTTGCTGAAGTTTCGTTCGTCAAATTGTGTCAAACATCTTCGGGCCGACAAAGCATAGCTTTTGGAAAACCTTACCAATATAATGGATCAATATACAAGACAGCAGGATGGGAACCTATTAATTTATTATACACCATTTTTTGCATCCTATAATTTAGTCGGCTACTTTAGGTTTATTTTTCATAGAGACTCCCAGTAGGTCATGTAAATGAGGCGTATTCATTCTATTTCGTTTAAGGTGATAAGTTGGCTGTCAGTAGAATTGTGCCAAAATCATATGAACAGGTCTCACTTTTCTATTGGGGATTCTTGGCAGTGTGGTGTACTTGTTAATATGTCGAGATTGTACACTGCTCTACCAAAAGCAGGGTTCGAGTCCCGCTGGGTGTGCTGATGAGACCTGGGCGAGGTTGAAACCACAGTTCAGTCCAGCTTGGAGTAGAATAGCTTTTGGGAAGCAGGGCTATGCAAAATTCAATGGAAACATAAAGCCTGCTCATAGGATTATGGAAAAATTTAACTATCAGTCATTCATCATCGTAAACAAAATAGGGTGAATGCATTTCTTACTTTATGCTTAGCCCACATGCTTTCAAATGGATAAAGTTGATATGGTTGCAGCCATTTCCTTACGTAAACAACCAGCATTTGATTATACAATGTTGGCGAATTTTTAGGAAAGGGGCCTTATTTAAACGAAGAGTAACCATAACCAGATGGTACCCTCTATTGTGTGCATACCCTGTTCAAGTGTTGTGATGTCTGATAGCCTAACCAGACTCAAGGCTATTTAAGCCTCCGCTTACCTGGTCGTCATTCCTTTACTCTCTCTCTTTGTGTGTGTGTGTGTGTTTTCATCTTCTTAAGCCTATCCAACAGCTATAAATAATTCCAATGGAACTTACAACCTGCTTTCGGCATAAGTAAGTTTCAAGACTATGCGTAATTCTTGACTGTGAACTTAGTCAGATTAGATCACTCAAAATGCCTCGAGAATTGAGTCTTTCTACAACCAAATGAGTAAGCCTCATAATACCTCAAAAGTTTGCCTTTCAATGCCTCCAAAAATGTTATTTTATCCCAGCTAGATTGAATTGCACTTGCTTCACTGTCTCGTGACTGGACCCATGACGAGATTCGATATCAGTTCGTGAGTATCGTGACGACGCTACTCTGCCACAGGGCAGATGTGGCAATCAAGATGGGTCAGGCCTCTTCTAAAACACATTTTGAGTGGGTTCACTTGGGTTCGAGTCCCTCTGTGGGTCGGAAGGAAACTAAGGCGAGGTTAGGCTAAATGGAAAAAATGAATTATTAGCCCTTGTCACATATAAAATGACTAAGAATCCTACTAATGATTAAATAATGGCCTATAAAACTTATATTTTGTAAAGTAAGTGGTAAGGCCGATACAAAAATCATCAAAGATGTTACATATTACGGACGTGGGTAGTTTTCTAAAATTAAGATTTTGCCTACATGTGAACTTTGTCAATTTTTCTAGTTTAAGGTGATTTAAATGGAGTAATAAGTTTGCCATTGTAATCACGAACTCAAATTAAATCCTCTTGATGGTGCTGATGAGACCGGTTAGACAGGGTCGAGATAAGATAGTCCTTATGGAGGCAAGATTAAGTGAACGTTTAGGCGTCGTGAGGCCTAATCACCTGATTGTGTAGGAACATTGAACTTTGTTAGGGGGACCTTTATTTCGTATGAAAGTGCATGAAGAAGAGATTCCTTGGTCGATCTCATCAGATGACGACGGATGAATTTCTTTGCACTGCAGCCGTTTGGCTTTTATATGATATTCATGTTGACACAGTCGACGAGACTTCTTCCATCGTTTCGGGTGAAAACGTGCTGAGCTTTCGTCCTTTGTATGATTGACATCATCAAAGCTGGGTTTCATTTTTATAAGAGTCTTACGCTAACAATAGGCCAAGAACACTATCCGGTTTCGATGAATCTCTTGAGATAACATTGTTAGGGGGATTTTCATTTCTTATGAAAGTGAATGAAGAAGAGATTTGTTGGTCGATCGCATCAGATGTGGACTGCGACAACATGATTATCGTATAAAAGCCAAACAGCTGCAGTAAAACGAGATTCATTCGTCCTCATCTGGTGAGATCGACTAACAAATCTCTTCTTCATGTACTTTCATACGAAATGAAGGTCCTCCCAACAATGTCATCTTAGGAGATTCATCGAAACCAAGTATCTCGTCGTATCTAAAATATTCAACTGTCAGCCATTAAATCGTCCTAAAGCAGTTGGGCCATTCTCAGAAATTAGTGATAGTCCCGTAAACTACTTATAACGAAGATAAATAGAATAGTGTTTTTCGATGGCAAACACGCGTTTTTTTTATTTTTCGTTTACAAATAGGGTTTCGAGATTACTATTAAATCAGTTATATGAGAGGTATTTACCCTATTTCGTTTAAGGTGATGAAGGACTGGCAGTTGATTTTTCCCACAATCTTATGAGTAGATCTGACACTTCTATTCAATTTCACATAGTCTTAGTTTCTCAAAAGGTACCCTACTCAAGGCTGAAGTGTTCAGCAGTTTCGACCTCACCTGAACTGGTCTCCTCAGCACCCCAAGCGGGACTCAAACCATGAAAGCGCAGCGTATAACATCTACACGTTAAAAATGGTGCCAAATTGCCACATTGCCACATCGTCACTAGTGCCCTTGTGTCAAGAGCAAATGCGAATTTCAAGGAAGTCCAGGCCTTTTCTAACATCAGATCCTGTGATGGGATTGTCGATGACGATTAGTTATATTTGCTATAACAATCGACTATGCTACTTAGTTTTCGTTTAAAAGTAGATTTTTCGATACTACTATTTCGATATGAAGGTTATTCACCCCATTTCGTTTAAGGTGTTAAGGGCACTCGTGGCAATGTGGCGTAGCAGTTAACGTGTCGAGAGTGTACGCTGTGCTGTCATGGTTAATGTCCCGCTGGAGGTTCTGATAAGGTCTAGATGAGATCGAAACTGCAGCCAACCCTGGAGGAGAATACCTTTGGGAAATCATGGCTCTGCGAAATTGAATGGCAACATAAGGTCTACTAATGACATTATGGAAAAAATTCAGCTCAAAACGAAATAGGGTGTTTACACTTCATACATAAGTAGCCCCGTGTTTTACATGGGAAATCACACGTTTTAATGAGATGTATTCACCATATTTCGTTTAAGGTGATGAAGGACTGGTAGTAGAATTTTCCCACAA